ATACAGTATTACCTAATACACTTATACTTAGTGCATAGTATATAGCGTAAGTACATATATATATATATATATATATAAGCTGTATTCGATACGGTATTACCTAATACACTTATACTTAGTGCATAGTATAGCGTAAGTACATATAATATATATATATATATATATATATATATTATATATATATATATGAGCTATATTCGATACGGTATTACCTAATACACTTATACTTAGTGCATAATATAGCGTAAGTACATATATTATATATATAAGCTATATTCGACACAGTATTACCTAATACACTTATACTTAGTGCATAGTATATAGCGTAAGTACATATATTATATATATATATATATAAGCTGTATTCGATACAGTATTACCTAATACACTTATACTTAGTGCATAGTATAGCGTAAGTACATATATTATATATATATAAGTTGTATTCGATACGGTATTACCTAATACACTTATACTTAGTGCATAGTATAGCGTAAGTACATATATTATATATACCTAATACACTTATACTTAGTGCATAGTATAGCGTAAGTACATATATTATATATATATAAGCTGTATTCGATACGGTATTACCTAATACACTTATACTTAGTGCATAGTATATAGCGTAAGTACATATATTATATATATATATATATAAGTTGTATTCGATACGGTATTACCTAATACACTTATGCTTAGTGCATAATATAGCGTAAGTATATATATATATTATATATATAGACACACACGCCCGCTTCGTAGTACTATTCATCCCTTGTATTACAAAAGTATTAACGACTTACATTTATATTATTTACATAGTAAATACAAAAGTGATTTTTAATTTTGACCATATAGAGACCAACTTTGGTCGCTAACTGTAAATGAATTTAATTTAGCGACCAAAGTTGGTCACTAACTGTACATGAATTTAATTTAGCGACCAAATTTGGTCACTAAATTTTAATCAGATTTATTTATATTTTATATAATATTTAAATTAATAATAAAAATTATTAAATGTTAGAACTGGGTCCCACCTTGGCGACCAACGTTGGTCTCTATTTCATTAAGCGACCAACTTTGGTCGCTAAATTTTGAATTATATTTATTTATATTTTATAATTTATTTTAAATAAATATATATTTATTAAAATATTATAACTGGGTCCCATGTTAGCGACCAATGTTGGTCGCTATCAACTTATTCTTCAGTTAGCGACCAACTTTGGTCGCAAGTTTTAAATTATATATATTTATATTTTATAAGTTTTATAAAATAATAATAAAATTATTTAAAAAAATTATGTGGGTCCCACTTTAGCGACCAACATTGGTCGCTAATCTCAGTATATCTTTGACCAAGCAAGTCTGACCAGTCCAGTCAACAGTTTGACTAAATTTGCGGCCAAATAGCGACCAACTATGGTCGCTAAAGTATTTCAAATATTTTTTTTATTATTTTCGGCAGTTTGGCGACCAACTTTGGTCGCTTTTCTTGACAGACCAAATTTGGTCGCTAATCTTTGGTCGCTTTTTACAGGAATTCTAGTAGTGTGAGATGGGGAAGCATAGCAAATGCAGAATGTGTGCTGTGTGAGGAAAGTGATGAAGACCATGAACACCTATTCTTTAAATGCAAATTTCAGCAGCAATATGGGAGAAGATACTGAAATGGGCTGGAGTAGGACGAGCTGCCAGAGAATGGAGTGAAGAAATAAGCTGGACCATTAAATTTGCAACAGGCAGAAGAGCATCAGCAGCTCTATATAGACTGATGTTGGCAGGTACAGTATACTACATATGGCAAGAGAGAAATTGAAGGATCTTTCGAAAACAAAAAAGGACAGCTGAGACTTTGATTAGAATGATAATCCAAGACATCCATTGTAGGGGTAGTATGAGAACTAGTCTAGAGGATAAGCTAAAGTCTTTAAATTGGTATCCTTAGATAGATAGATTATTGTGTAGCTGATGTAGTACTCACAGTTGGGGCTGCATGTCCAACTGTAAGGAAGAATGGGTTTTGTTTCGTAATTGTATCTCATTTCCTAGGTAATAAAATTTAAATTACCAAAAAGAAAAAAAAGAAGCAGATGGTTAATGAACTTATTCTCTTCTGTGAAGGTTCGTGCATTTGTAATGCGTTAAAAATGGTTAGACAATTTCTAAGCTTAATCCTTTTGTAATTACTTATTGTCTTGTAGTCTTAATTGCATGAGCGCATAGTTAAATACTATTACTGTTGCTAATTCAAGGATAACTCAACTACCTACATGAACTAATATTTGTTGTCCTAAAATTTTAAACTGAAAGCCTAAGGTATGTTGGATAAGCACGGTTCAAAACAGTTAAATTACTCCGTATACCTTTTGCTAGTCAACAAACAATTGGTTTACTAAACATATTTAGAAAGGCTTGAATATCACTTTATAGGAATGAGTAATATAGATATTCTTAACTGTTAAGAATATAATCACTTAAGGAATAATAGTATTACGTTTACGTATCGTTACGTGAATCATGCCAAAAGAAAGAAGGGATAGACTTAACATACCTAAGCTGATTCTCTTGACAATCCATCAGAAGTTAATAGATAAACAAAACAGTATGAGATATGCTTTCAGCTACTATCCAACTAACCACAGAGAACGAGATGTCCAGTGGATGTTTCCCTCTTCAGCTATTCTTCCTGATCCCCAATTTCATTGTTAATGCCCGTTTAGTAGATTAAAAAAAAGTATCCAGTAAGCTTATGGAGGAAAAACAGAAATTCGCCACAAGTTTATATAAAAGTTAGGAACTTTTCTTCTTTTCTCAAAAAGGAAAAGAAGATGGAAACTTGCGCGCTGCAGCTATGGAGTTAGACTATTGAAGTGTTGTCCTTGAAATAGTTATAGATGTGGGGGTAGACACAAGACAACCTTTTCTTTTGCTATGTTAAGAAGCTGATATATCATATACCTAACCAATTGAATTGGCATTGAACCTTCATTTCTTTATTCAATTTAAAGTCCCCGTATAAACAAATGCAAACAGATATTTTCCCATACAACTTTTTATGCAAATAATCCAAGTGTCTTCTTAAATTGATACCACAACATAGGTCTAGCTGCCAGACAATATAAAAATACATTACCAATAATGAAAAAAAGACAATGGAAACAATTGAAAGATAACTTATGTATTAGGTGTTATGACTCATCACACCTCTAATTTTGATATGCTCATTAAGCTAGATTTAGAAAAAGCTTTCGATAGACTGGAGTGGTCCTTTATTTATAAGACCCTTCATTACTTCAAATTCCTTCCTAAAACCACTAGACTAATTATGCATTGTATTACTACTAGTTTTATAGGGGTGTTAGTAAATGGTTCAAGAACAAATTTTTTCCAACCTAGTAGGGGTATTCGTCAAGGCGATCCCCTCTCACCCTACATTTTCATATTGTGCATTGAACTTCTTTCTAGACTCATCAACCACCGGGTTGATCTTAGGAATTGGGATCTCATCCAAATTGGCCATAGGGGCCCCTCCTTCTCCCATATACTATTTGCGGTTGACATAACTCTCATGGGAAAAGCTAATAAAAAAACTAGCCTTTGTATAAAAGAATGCATGGATTATTTCTCCATGGAATCTGGACTTACCATAAACAAGTCTAAATCCAGAATTGTTATCCCTCCTCATTGCCCAAAAGATGTCTCAATCCACCTACATTCTCTTTTTGACATAAAATGTATGCTTGAGTTTGGAAATTATCTAGGATTCCCTATCCTTAATAAGAATCCAAAAGACAAGGATTTCCAATTCATTCTGGATAAGTTACAAACTAGACTCTCTCATTGAAAATGTCCCATCCTTAATATGGCTGGGTGTACCATACTAGCAACAAGTACCCTAGGAGCAATTCCTTCACACATAATGCAATATACTCTCCTTCCTTCTAAAACACTTCAATCCATTGATAAAATTCAAAGGAATTTTATTTGGGGTACTACAAATATCTCTAAAAAGCTTCATCTTATAAATTGGGATACTGTCACCAAGAATAAAAAAGATGGTGCCTTAGGTATCCACAAGGCAAAAGATAAGAATTTGGTCTCCCTTGCAAGCCTTAGGTGGAGACTCTTAAAAAATCCTTCATTACCTTGGTGTTATCTAATCAAGTCCAAGTATGCTCGCTCAAAGACTATTACAAACCTTTCTTTCATCTGGAAATCTATCCTCCAAGGATGGAAACTATGCAACAAAGGAATTTTGTGGCATCCCTCAAAAAATGCGTGCTTAAACATTTGGTATAACAATTGAATTTACAATACCTCTACCCTTAGGAGCTCTATTGAGGGCCCCCTCAACAAAACTGAGTGTGATCTCTCCCTGGGCAAACTATCTAGGGGCAATAATTGGGACCTTAGTAAAATTAGATTTGAACGTCCCCCCTAAAGTTATTCACAATACTAAGCTTACTCCTACCCCCTCAAATAACTCCAAAGTGGATGATCTCAGCTGGAATCTAAGCCCCAATGGAATTTTCTCCACAAAATCTTGCTTTAACCTTCATAATAAAGCCTTCATTCTTTCAAATTGTTATAAATGGATATGGAACCTCCAGTGTCATAGCAAGATCAAGATCTTTCTCTGGAAATGCTGCCACAACCGTGTTCCTTGTAGAGCTTATCTCCATAAAATTAGTATGAATGTGGATGACACATGCACTACATGCAGAATGGGCATTGAGAGCATCCAACACATTTTCCTACACTGTGCCTCAACCCAAGGATTCAGGAAAGCCATGGGCATCAGCTATGATATTAATATGCGCGATATTAACTGGCTTACTGAGCTACGTGATGCCTTCATAAAACAAAACTCTCAAAAGATTAATTGGCAAACTCTTTTTCCTTTTTGCATTTGGGAAATATGGAAAAACGGGAATAATAATAATAATAATATCAATAACCTTCGCTGCCATCTCGACGTAAAATCACCCATGCATTTTGCATGGGAATATCACTTTTTCACTGAAAGGAACCCTTTTAAAATCAAGAAAATTGCCATTGAGACTAGGTGGTACAAACCATCAATAAATACTATTAAACTTAACTGTGATGGTGCTTTCTCTTCTACTAACAATGCAGTAGGAATTGGTGGAACATTTCGCAATAGTAATGGTGATTGGATCTTGGGTTATCAAAAAAGGACTCATGCTGCCTCCCCAATTCATGTTGAACTACTAGCTCTCCTGGAAGGGCTAATAATTGCACTAGACTTTAAAGAGACAAACATGGAAATTGAAACTGATAGCACAGATGTCATTACACTATTGCATGAAGACTGTACTAACTTTCAAAATGTTAATGCAAATGGTTAATGCACCAACTGAAGCTCCCATTACTAAGGCACAACTTTAGGGAAGGAAATGAAGTAGCTCATCGACTAGCTAAGGAAGATTTGCAAAAACCTCCCAGTGATAAATGCTTTTACCATTCTCGTCCACCTTTTTTTGTGCAAGAAGAAATCCAAAAAGACAAGCATGAATCTTGTAATAGTCTAAGAACTATCTCTACGAATGTTTGTAATTTCTTAGCATCTATGGGCAATAGTAATGCCCTTAAGACTATGTCTGAGTCGTGTACTTTATTTTTTAAGTAATATAAATGTCGTGCTTTTATGTTAAAAAAAAAAAAAAGAAGACTCATCACACCTTAGTGCCACCAAGCTACATGGCTTTAAGAGTCATTCAATTGAAAGGGAGGGGCTGTCACGTGGGTGGCGTGAGAAATTTTAATATTTATTCACTTATTAGGTAATTAGGTAATATCTCCTTATCCGGTAATTAACCAATTACCCTCATAATTATGAACTGTCTCAAATTACATAAAATTTTATTTATTTTTAATACATTTTATACACCGTACTATTACGGTCATGTGGTACCATGTAAAATAAATTTATACACTATTGTTTCATTAAAATATCCATGTAAAAATACATATATTTTCTCAACTTCTAATTTTCCTATTCTCATCTAAAGAGTACAAATTTTCGTACACTTAATTCTTAAAATGGTAACAAGATAACCTTCTTTTCTTATGAAAAAATAAATTATATCTTTATATTAAAGAAAATCTCATAAACTTTTCTCATACTATGTGTATAATTCAAAACATATTCGAAAGTAGTAATATTAATAACTATATAAAATCATATTTTTCAAACCATTTTTTTTCTGTTACAAAAAAAGTTCCACTCAAAATACCATATAAAAAAAAGTTCCACTCAAACCAATTATATATATCAAGGTTGTTAAACTTACGGGGTGTAACATGAGTGCGGAATAATATAAAAGCCAACAATATTTAGTACAATCCGGATCTAGAGTCACAACTGACGAGCTTCTAGAATCTCTACAAACATGGTCTGAAGTAAATACAATTGTCTTGAATGACAAAAAACAATAAAATAGGGGAAATAGAAAGGAACTTCAAGGTCTGCGGACGCCAGCAGATCTACCTCGAGTCTCTAAAAGCAGCTCCGAGCTTAAACGCCTCACGGACAGCTGGGACCCGTGCCAAAATCTGCACAAGAAGTGCAGAGGTACAACCAACCCCTTGTACTCCGTAGAGTCGAGCCTAACCTCGACGAAGTAGTGACGAGGCTATGACAAGACACCCACGGAAATACTTTTGCAAATAACAGTATACGTAAAAGATAACAACAAATAAAGGCTAAACATGTATATTGGGTAGGGACATGCAAAAGGGGTACAAGATACGATAAAATACAGCAGGAAATGATAACCAGAACACTCAATATGCCTTTAACCAGTAAAATAGATAAACAGAATGAATAAAATTGCACGGCATCACCCTTCCTGCTTTTACTCTCAACCTCACAATGAAACAATAATAACGACACGGCATCACCCTTCGTGCTTTTACTCTCAAAATATGGCACGGCATCATCCTTCGTGCATAAACTCTCACAATATGGCACGGCATCACCCTTCGTGCATTAATACTAAAATACGCCACGGCATCACCCTTCGTGAATTAACACTCTCCCTTACCGTATAACAATGAACATATAACAACAGGGAGATAGAATTAACAAGAACAAGCCTTACGTTAAAATGGTCCTACAATACTAACCTCAAATTTCAGAAACAATACTCAATTATCATAGCTAGTCCATAAAAGCGGAAAATTTTATCAATTTGATAAGTAACTAGTCTAAGAATGGATAACATGATCAAAGTAGGCAATAAATTACAAGCACCAAGTCTCACCCTCCTGCTTTCATCGCATTTGCGATAAAATGTTCACAAATGCGAACTCTGGTCTCCCGCAATTACGACCTCCTGATCCCAATTGTGATCCTTACTGACTCAGGCATTCTTCGCAAATGCAAAGAAGTTGCTCGCAAATACGATCCTGATAGGTTTTGGAATGTTCGCAAATGCGAACACTGATCTCGCAATTGCAAGATCAGAGACCAGCACCAGAAACTGAAGAACACCAGCTGAGTTTTCTAAGCCCAAGCCACTCTGTAGCCTATCCGACACTCACCTGAGCCCTCAAGACTCCAAATGAAACATGCACACAAGTCAAAAAACATCATACAAACTTGCTCGCGCGATCAAATTTCCAAAACAACACCTAGAACTACGAATTGGATACCAAATCAAATAAAATTTTCAAGAAAACTTATGAACTCCTACGTTAACAACCTGACATCCGAATCACTTCAAACCAACTCCGTTTCTCACCAAATTCGACAAGCAAGTCACAAATATAGTAATGGACCTATACTGGGTTTTAGAACCAAAATACAGACCCGATATCAATAAAGTTAAACACTGGGCAAACTTTCAAATTCATTAAGCCTTTATACTTTCAAATTTCAATAAAAAGCGATAACTCGAGCTAGGGACCTCCGAATTCAATTCCAGGCAAATGCTCAAGTACCAAATTATGATATGGACTCACTGAGACCGTCAAAACATAATTCCAGGAACTGAAGTCAACTCAAATGAATATTAAAGCAAAAATTTCATTTTTGTCAGTTTTTTACATAAATGCTTTTTGTAAAACACACGGACTGTGCATGTAAATCTAGGAAGGCTAAAATGAGGTATTTGAGGCTTCGAAACATAGAATTATGTTCTATAACACTAGATGACCTATTGGGTCATCACAGCAAGGTACCTCTTCCTCAACCCCTTGAAGACGTTCCTCTTCACTTCGCGGATTCGCCGCATCCTCATGATAAAAACATTGTCAGATGATCTGAGTGTGCAAATCTGGTGAGTGCAAATTGGTGTATAGGTTTGACAGTAATAAGCCCTCAAATAAGCTCTAGAGTAATAGTGATTCTCAGGAGAGTGAAAAGTGTAAAATGAGGCCAAAACTCCTATTTATACTTAGAGTGAATGACAGGGAAAAAAGGCCGAGTGCGGCCACACAATTCCAAGTGCGGTCCGCACTCCTTCACCCGGGCACCGGTTATCTACTTCTCATGTGCAATCCGCACAATTTTAAGTGCGGCCGCACAATTCCTCTCACGATTGCATATTTGCTCCGAACTGACAGGGAAAAACTTCACAGACCTTGTCATTTAACATGTACTCTAGCTTTGGTGAAGTGGGGTCAACAGGTGAAATTTGCGGCCGCACAAGCTCTTCTGCGATGGCATATCTTTTTCTGCGGCTGCACAAGCTCTTCTGCGATGGCACATCTTTTTGTGCAGCCACACAAATGAAATATGTGGTCCGTATTTTCTTTTGCACGTAGCAATTCGTTCATCCTTCTTTCATGTAACACTCAACCCTGGAGCACATTTCAAATCAATTTAAGAACAACAAATAACATCTAACTACAAGAGAAAAAGGAAAAGAACTTGAGTTGCCTTCCAAGAAGCCTTTAAATATCGCGGCGCGACGCAATGTCTAAGCATCCTCAAGCGAAATAAATGATTGCCACCACATGGCTCTCTCCAACTTTGCTCATGCAGTGCTTCACTCGGCGACCATAATCAGAATACTTCATTATTCTTGTTCTTCAAATCAAATTCACCGAAGGGAGTCACACCAACAATTTCAAACGGACCACTCCACTTGGACTTGAGCTTCCCGGGGAAACATCCCCAACCTTGAGTTAAACAACAATACAAGATCACCGGCCTTGAATTCTTTGTTCCAAACGTACTTGTAATGCATCTATTTAATCTTTTCTTTGTACAAGGATGAACTCTCGTATGCATGATACAGGAACTCATCCAATTAATTCAAGTGTGCGACCCGTAGTTTGCAGCTACATCCTAATCAAGATTCAATTTCCTCAAGGCCCACATCGCCTTGTGTTCTAGTTCGACGAATGATGACAAGATTTCCTAAACACTAACTGTCACGACTCGGAATTCCCACCTTCGAGACCGTGATAGCACCTAACATTGCACTTTCTAGGCAAGCCAACGTTAGAGAATCTTTAAGCCAATTTTGTTCAATTTCAATGAGTAAAGGCAATAAGCCAAAAGGAAACTAAGACTGATTGCGGAATAACATAAAATCCCATAATATCTAATACAATCCAGATCTGGAGTCACAATTCATGAGCTTCTAAAATTTTCTACAAACAGAGTCTGAAAGAAATAAACTGTCTTGAACGAAAACAAACAATAAAATAGGGGAAATAGAAGGGGACTTCAAGGTCTGCGGATGCTAGTACATCTACCTCGAGTCTCCAATGAGCAAATCCAAGCTGCTACGCCTCACAAACAGCTCGGTCCAGTACCAATATCCGCACAAGAAGTGCAGAGTGTAGTATGAGTACAACCGACCTCATGTACTCCGTAAGTGTCGAGCCTAACCTCGATGAAGTAGTGACGAGGCTATGACAAGACACCCACATAATATACTATGCAGATAACAATATATGTGCAAGATAACAGCAGATAAAGTCTAAATATGTACTATTGGGAGGGGGACATGATAACCAGAGCAGCCAATATGCCTTTGACCAATAAAAATGAATAAGCACAATGAATAAAATTGCACGACATCAACCTTCGTGCTTTTAATCTCAACCTCACAATGAAACAATAATGTTGCACTGCATCACCCTTCGTGCTTTTACTCTCAACCTCACAATGAAACAATAATACTGCACGGCATCACCCTTCGTGCATTAACATTCTCCCTTACCATATAACAATGAACAAGTAACAACAGGGAGATACAATAAACAAGAAAAAGCCTTAAGTCAACAATAGTTCCATCATACCAATCTCAACTTTAGAAACAATAGACAATTATCACAAATGCCCATAAACGCGGTAAGAACGATCAATATAATAAGTAACTAGTCTAAGCATGTTACACCCCATATTTTCGTATGTGAAAGTACGCCATAAGTAAATTGATAAAAGCTCGAAAATGAGATGTTACATCCCGTATTTTTGTACGTTAAAGTTTTGTCGTATGTTCGGGAATGAGGTTATTTTGTGATTATAAGTGTTATACTATTTCAAGCAAGTGATAAGTAAATTCGTGAAGTTGAGAGGGTAAGAAAATAAATGAAAATGAATGTCATTGAAGTTTGGCATTTTGAGATAAAATACGGTCCGGGCTATAAATACCCGATATTTATAAACTAGTGTCATACAAGGTACCACATAACCATGATAGTAAGGTGCATGAAGTGTGTTAAAAGTGAGTAGTATTCTAAGTAATTTAGGATATTTCTTAATTATGAGGGTAATTGAATAATTATTGGATTAGTGGGGGATTGACAAAGTTAATTAAGTTATTGGATAATCTTAAAGCTTAAAACGTTGCAGCAAAATGTAGTCAATCAAATGACTCTTAAATGATGTTGCTAGGTGTCATAATTTGGACATTATCATCCCTACAAGTAGGGCCCAAAAAAATCCATCAATTTTAAGAAATCTACCTTATTTAGATATAATTTTAAGTATGGCAACATACGGGTTAAGATTCAATTCGGATTCGCAACTCTAAGAGATTTTCCACGAAGCTATTCAGTGTAAATGCAACGAGATTTGAAATTCTAAGAGAGTACGGTACAATCTTTATCAAGAACATCATATGGATTTTTTCCTACTTCGATCCGCCTATACGTGTTATCGCAATTGACGCGTGTTAGAGGGATTATAAAGAGAATCGGCTCAAATATGTTAAGGCTATCCCTTCTTTCTTCTTGGCATGATCCATATGATACAAACGAAACGAGCAAAATGCAAAACTTCCATAAATGACTCTATTCATAGAAATACCAGAGGTTCCTATGTTCTTGATTCCCCATATGTCATAGTATTGTATTGTCTGTTCATGGGTCTCAGAAAATACGTAAGTTGATAAAGTTTACTTCATGATATTAATCATAGGTATAATGGTCTTATGACGTTCGGAGAGATTTTATTGATGTACTTCTCATGCATTGCATTCATTTATACATATACATTGACCCATGATCAGATGGCTCTGTATACGCATATATATATATATATATATATATATATGGAAAAAGGTTGCGACGTTATATATGTACCACCACCTGATCAGCTAGTATACGTTGATGATTTTGCCTACAGTGGCCGAGATGATATGATGGGATGTCGTCAGAGGCTTGATGATCTTATCAACACATGTACCTATGCACGACATGACATTTATATGCATATGCATGGCATTATACATATTAATGATTCACATAGTTATTTAGACTTACATGTCGAGTCTTTTACTCCATGTTTCTCTCATATCTATTATTTATTGATTTTCATTTCTTACATACTCGGTAAATTATTTGTACTGACGTCCCTTTTTCCTTGGGACGCTGTGTTTCATGCTCGCATGTCCTGATAGATAGGTTGAGAGTCCTCCAAGTAGGCTATCAGCTCAGCGGAAGGTGTTGGTGCGCTCTATTTTGCTCCGGAGTTGCTTATTTGCTCAGTATAATTAGGACATGTATTGATTAGTATAGCAGGGCCCAGTCCCGACCTTTATATTACTTATGTACTCTTAGAGGCTTGTAGACAAATGTCATGTATACATATTCTTTTATGGCCTTGTCGGCCTATGTTTTAAGTTTACAAATGATCATGTTGGCCTTATAGGCCCGTATGTCACGTGTATAAGTTTCTATAATGGGTGGTTTTATGTCGAGTGTTTCCTCATATTTTATTGTTGTTGCCTCATACGTCCCTTCTGGCCCACTTACCCGTGATGATGTAATAAGAAAGATACGTTATGTTGGATCTCGGTTGAGTAAGGCACCGGGTGCCCATCGCGGCCCATCGATTTTGGGTCGTGACAAAAAGTTGTACCAGAGCAGTTCTGTCCTAGGGAGTCTACAATCCATGTCTAGTAGAGTCTTGTTTATGGGTGTGTCATGCACCACACTTATAAGCAGGAGGCTACAGGGCATTTAGGACTATCACTCTTCCTCCTTATTTGATACAACTTGTACCCGTTTGAACTAGACTCCCTAAT